ATTCAAGTCGTTCGTCTAGTCTGTTGACGAATTCTATTCGAGAAGTGGACTTGTAATCGGCTGCGACAACCATAGTGAATTCGCTTATTGCAGAATTGTTTTAACCGGCCAGATTCTATGCGATTTAATTCGAACCTACTATTGTATATGCATATAACGATATGTGCGACGTGATTCCGTCACAGATCGGTGCATTTACGTCAAGATTTTGTGACAGCACTGACGTAGAGTCGTATTCTTCAATAGACATTCCAAACATGCTCGGAACAAGCACTATTAGACTAATATTTACCACTGCACTGGATTATATCACAAGCCATTGCAAAAAAAGAAAACATGGTTACTTGATAAGTAGATGAGCTAGCTGAATGAAACCTCAACCAGCTGCTTCAGGCCCTTAATTCGGTAAAACGGGCTACCCAGAGGTTTCCAGAGTGTTATGGGATTTGAAAAATGATGACGTCATATTACAGAGATGTATATGCAAATAACAATATTAACTTTATCTGTTGCTAGTGTCGTGTACGTGTAAGTTCCCTTTTTTAGAGCGTACGTCCGATTTCTAGTCTAATCTGGTTTACAAGGATAAAAATGGAAACATAGCTAACTTTTTGACGTAACCAGTTAAGTTGAAGAAAATAGCTGGCAATTGCAAGTATAGATCGCAATCGGCGAAGTGCTTCTCCTACGAGTAAGATCTCTGGTGGAAAGAATACAGTTTTAGGTTTTGTTTTTCACCATCCTTAGTTCATAGTTATGTCATTAACGAATCGGCCCATCTACCAGAAATATGAAACTCACTTGCGCAAAAAAAAAAAAAAAAGCGAAAAACTTTAAAAACACGAACGCCAGCTATTCGATCTCCTAGACGCTCTTTGGGCTCGTCACGCGTTCGTCTGTGTTGAGGGCTTACCCGGTCCTAACCTAAACTAAACTTGCTCCCCTACCAGTACCTTGTTCTGGTACTCGCGGCCTTCGGCGTCGCCTCGCGAGAAATTGTTTTATACTGATTTAAAAATAGTCTGAAGATATTTTATGTCTTATGCCTAAAACTAGAAAACAATGCTAACACTGTAGGCTTCCCACAAGTCGACATAATGAATTTCAGGGTAGACTAGTATGTTAGGCCACGAAGTGGAATAGAATATGTTAGGCCGCGAGGCGGGATAGAACATATTAGGCCGCCCTTTTCAAGGTCGCGAAGCGCCCGAGCGAGCGACGAAGTCGCGAGAGGTCTTCGTCCGGCGGGTACTGAATAAACAAGACGAAGGACTTTTGCATTAAGTCTACTGACACTGAAGTAATGTTACTATTATGTTCAAAGGTTTTCTTTCTCGCAAAAAGAGTAGCCTTTCCGAAAAAAATTCGCTTATTCAATTCATCTGATGTTTTTTTCTGCCGTATCCATTACAGGAAAATAATGGCATTAGCACAGACATGAAATAAAGCGTATATCCCTGAGAAGAGCAGTCGAGCAAAAACCGTCAAACAAACCTTTCCTGGTAGGTGTAAAACAAGTTATATTATGTACATAATCACCTTTAAGTCGCTTAGGGGATTCCCCGTAACGTGATCTTATAGCGGAATCTGACCTCACTCATCCGTCTACATTAAAGAAAGTGTCATCCCACTCAAGTAAATAAGAACATGACGCGGATTGACAGTTACGTCTTTGTTTAAGGTCAGGTCAGAATTCATTTGAAAGGGAGCACGACGTATGTTGAAAAATCAAATATTAAACAGCCGTGAGGGCCAAATACCACTCATTTGACTTATTCTTTCTTTTGCTTTTGTTTTCATTTTCTGTTGCGCCACTCGTTTTATTCATTTTTATTCAGTTATTTGACGACGACGACGACACTTCCTCACTAATATCTCGTTGTCGCTGATAATGACTTCACTCAGTAAGGGTATTTTTTTATTATTTTTTTTTATTTTTTATGGGCTTTTCCTTTTTCCGTCGTTTGATTCCAGAAGAAGAAACGTCCCCGGCACGATGCAATGAAGTTGCGGCAACATCACGAGAATTACTATATAACCTTGACGTATGCATTTATTCGTACTGTTTCGTCCCTGCATCAAGTCAGATTGGTAGATGAAAAATATTTATATGCCATCAAGCTACCTGGGTATTGCTTTCTGGAGAGAATAAGTGAGCCATTGTTTGCTCGTCTCTAACAGGTTAGTTACGGGGAATCTTCTTTTCACTAAGAATATTTCGTCATGTGACAAAAGTAACAAAGTTTTTATTTAGCTATTGATTTCTATTTACACTTCTTTGTCGTTTGCATTCAAGAAAGTCTGTTGAAACAGCTGTGATACATGCTGCTTGCTGAGAGAGGTTCAAAAACTCAGTACACACGAAAAAACTGAAAAACTGCATCACTCCACGAACTCCTCTCCATGCATGCCGCCATGCATGCTTAAACGAACAAAGATGCGTCAAGGGTCAAGGGCGACATGATTGGGAAATATACCGAAGTAAATCGTGCTGACACGAACACACGTATTTCCCCTCGTGCTCTTTTTATTTTTTTTATTCATTTATTTTATTTAGAATTTTTTTTTCTCTCTCTCTTACGTTTTGCCTCCGTACTGGCTTGCATTCTGACTGTCTGGTGCATGTGATGATTTAAACCCGTACAACATTGCCTATGCGACTACGGTCAAAATGAGTACTGGCCACGGTCTGTTTATATTAAAGACTGATAACCGAATAGTCCGAGTGATAAGCATAACACAGAGAGGCTCACTTAAATGTCAAACCAGTGCGATGTATCAAGATGTTGCGCTTGAATACTAAGAGTATAGTAGAATTTCTTGATTGCTGTTGACTAGCGAAAAACAGGTTCTTTCACCGGCAAATGAAATTACGTCTCGGAAGCTCTTAGTTGCGGTTCTAAGCAAGAAAAAATAAGGGACAGAGAGGGAGGTTCCCAGTCCAGGCATTGGGATATGTCAATTCCGTTAAAGTTATTTCAGGGATTGACGAAAACAGCGGGAGTGCATTTCCTTTTACGTCCGCATGATACAATTCTTTAGGTAATCATGCAGGCAATTTAGGAACGGCGGTCCACGCGGAAATACGGTTTGTCGATAGAAGCGCCTTTTACGGGTACATCAGAGAGAGTTGGTATTTCTGGATGGATAAATCAAAGTGGGAGATATATTTTCACAACTCCTTGGGAATAAAATGGCACGTGCAGATGGGCGGAAATGCAGTTCTGAGTGGTCAACAAAAGCAACAAAACGTTCCGGCGGGAAATGTAATAAATTCTTTGCTGTTATGGACTATGCACTGGCACTGTGGCTTTTTCAAATGGAGTTTACAAACCGATGGACTTCGACATTGATATAGGCAATGACAATGAGATTTTCTCCTCACACTGAAGAGAGAAAGCTAACTTACGGTGCAGAAAACTTGACATGAACATGATCAAAGAAAGATGACACCTCCTTGTTTCCTCTGTTGGAAAAGCAGTGTGAAGAAGTCCCCTTCGCTCAGTTCTGTGTGTTTTGGTTGCTGGTTGAAAATCATTTTTTGTCGCTTGCATGGGAGTTAATTTGTCGTTGAATTGAAAATTGTTTCTGACGCTGATCACTACTGCTCTCTGAGTTGTTCTGTTTCTCTATGAATTCAAATTAAATTATTTCTGCCCGGGTTTCAGTCGCTGATCGCTTCGCTCCGACCTACAGGAGTTATTTGGTACCGGTATTCACAACTAGTTCTGTTGCTACATTCCCATGATCGCCATGCTTCTAGTTGTTTAGTCGCTGTGCTGGCATTCAAAATTATTTCTCTCGCTGAGCGCTACTCTCTAAGGTATTTGTTGTTGGATTTAAAATTATTTGTGTCACTGGTCATCCCAATTCGAGCCGTTTTGTTGTTGGATTCCAAGTTATTTCTGTCGCTGGTCGCTTCGCTGCGAGCTATTTTGTCACTGTATCGCTATTCAACATTATCTCTGTCCGGCGCTGATCACTTCGCTCCGTGCTGTTGTCAGTTTTGCTGAGCCTTATTTAATTGTCTAAGCTAATCGCTACACTCCGAGTTGTTTTATCCGCGCTGTTAAGGTTCAAATAAACTTCTGTTGCATGGTTGGAAATTGCTTTGCTGCGCACCATAGTATGCAAATTGATTTCTGTCGCTAATTGCTAGACTTCGAGTTGTTTTGATTCCTGGATTCAAAATATTTTAGCTACCCTGTCGCTGGGTTGAGAGCAATTTCGTCGCTGGGTTCAAAAATAGTTTTGCCGTAGGAACCAAAATAATTTTCTTCGGTGGGCTAAGATTTCTTTCGTCGATGGGTGTAGAGGTATCGCGATCGCTACAGATTAGACCAGTATTTAGCTCTTATTAACCGAGCAGGAGGTCTGTATGGGAGAATTTTGACCGAGGTCATGAGTACAGACCGAACGCAGTGAGGTCTGTACACACGACCGAGGTCAAGATTCTCCCATACAGACGGACTTAGCTCGGTTAATAAGATGTTTAATATATGGCAAAGAAGAAAACTTTAATTCGTTTGATGTAACTGGTTTGCTGACATTTTGCTTGTGAACGGCGATGAGCTTAACTTAAACCTGCCCAAATTTGCTCGTCCTCTTTCCTTTTTTTATTGTCATCAGGCTTTTTGGCACTTTCATAAATGTTTGAGAAGAAAATAAAAGAAAATGGTGAACATTTTTGTATTTTAGTTTGCTACTTTTTCAA